ACACACACACACACACACACACACACACACACACACACACACACACACACACACACAAAGGCAAAAAGAAAATGGGAACTTCCTGCCAACATGTCAAACACTAAATTTTACTTTTTTTTTCCAATACCATGAACCACTTTTGCAGCTCTGCGGCATATCTCTTTGTTGCTTCATGTACTTTGTTTTTGTAATTCTCCTTTTCCTTTATTGGAACATCTTTCCAACGTTCCTGGGTCTCCATGTGACACTCTCTTAAACTTGGGGTTTTGTCTAAAAGTTTTAACTGTTCCCCCAAAAACTGTGAGTATGGAACTCTGATAAAAAAAAAAGAAAAAAAAAGAAAAAGAAAGAAGAAATATATTTTCAGATTTTCCTTGGAGGACTTTATGCATTTATTAAAATACAATCTACAACTTAAGAGACATCGAGTTTGTAACTTACTGAGATGGCATCTTGGGTTCACGAGGTTCTCTCATTTTAGCTGTTGGTTTCTAAACAATAAAGACAAAAACAATGTTTTAAAGAAAGGAGTTAATCCAACATAGCTTGCAACCTAAAAGAATAGTGAAGCAATAGTTCAGGTCAAAAGGTTATGAGCAAAGCTAATTTTATACTTTTGTATGAGTATTTTCACATAAGTAATTTGAAACATGACAAACTTATTTCAAGACAATTTAGGGAAAAACCTAGTTTTGCGCATGATCAGGTTTTTTAATCTTGGCCTGGAGTGAAACTACATGTGAAAAACGGCTTTAATGAGGAGTTTTAAAAAGGAGACATATTATGCTTTTAAATCCCTTTTCACATTTAAAACATTCAGTCAGGGTCTAAAGTGAAACAACAATAATTTGGTCTGAATTCATCCTTTTTTAAAGTTAAAAACCCCTCTTTGACCCCTGTTTTCGTTATTTTTGAAATTTATTATATGCACAAACAAAAACATAAAAACCATAAAAGACTAATATAAAATGCAGCTGTGCAGGATAAGGTATCCTTTCATATTATAGAATTAATAGCTAACAGAAATAAAAGTCAAATACACACAAATCTATAATAAGCAATCAAAATCACGTCATTTGACATCAACATAATTTGAAAGAATGAACATCACTAGTGGAAGGTTCTTCCACAGTAAGGGTCCTTTATACTCAAGTGTACGTTGCTTTATTGCTATTCTGCATAATATTTAATAGAAGTCGGGACAGTGTCTTGTTGAATAATTGTAACAGAAATTGGCCGATAGTTACTGAATAAATTAGCATTCCCAGATTTAAACACAAGGTGGCACCATAGCTACTTTTAAGTCCTTGGGTACAATATAACACCAACAACAACAATTTGCTATATCAAAAGAATTACTATAACTTTTGATACTATCAGATAACTGATTAGCCTGGCCCTTGCCTTCCTATGCAGTTCCGCTCAATTCTAGTTTCTCTTCACCGCTCCGTCTGGGATTTCTCCCATAGACAAGGATTTCTTCGGGAGCATTTCATCCGGGCTAATCAGAGAACAGAACATCGACTTTCTGTGCAGTGTCTGCTAGTAGTTTATTTTCCCTGGGCCAATCAGCAAACAGGAGGCGGAGTTTTGAACAACGTTGGTGTTCTGCACAGTGTCTGCTAGTTATTTTAGCATATAGCAGTGGAGGAAGTGAATGAAGCCAGTCCTTGTTGATAAGGCTTCCAAATTAAATTAAATTTGTCTGACAAAGCAGCAGCTCTCATTTACAGTCGTCTTGTTTGGCTTGGTATATTTCTCCTCTCAGTAGGGTTGTTCACGGCGCACACGGTTTCTGGTTAGCTTCTTAGCTTAGCCTCCTTCACAGTGATACGGCCAACTGATCCAGTCATTTTAAACTTCAGCAGAGGCCACGCTTCCAGCAAGAATCGCTTCTCTATAGCCGAGAGTTCAGATGGTATGAAGTAAAGTGAAGGACAAGAGTCTAGTTTTTACCAGGCTAAGATGGAATCGTTCTGGATGTGACTGATCAGCAATTCATTTATGACATTCTTGGTGTTTTTAAAACTTTTATACGAGATTTGTAACTACTGAATATTATCTTAGTGTTTTTTTAGTATTTTACAGATTTTTTATAGCATTTATAACATGAAATAAAAACTGAGTGGAGTAATGGGAATTTTTTAACTACTTGTTTTTAGTAGTAAAAGATTTTTAAATAAAAAATATATATAAATTTTTGCATTTGTTTCACTTTGTATGAAAATAGGAAAACATTTATCAAACAAAAAAATATATTATATTGTTCCTAATCCTAACCCTTTTAGGTCTGAACAAATTCATGAAATAAACAGACAAAAAGTACCATCATCTGAGTTTGTGGCAAAAGCTTTTTTTTCCTTTTAATTAAATAAAACATTGGCTCYTCTCATGTACCCCGGGCCCTGTCCCATCCAGTGATGTGTCTCGCTACTGTAATTTTTTTTAACACAGGAATTTAAGCATATTTAGGGTGTATTCACACCAGGAAAGTCCTTTGGTCCACTTGTTTGGTCCGGACCAAAAGTGGACTTTATTTTTTATTTTTTTGTTTAGTGTGGTTTGCATTCACATTGTGCTTTTTTGCAAATGAACTATAAGTTGTAAACAAAGCCATGAGGCTGACGATCATGCTCCCATTGGACATAAAAGGATGGGGACTGAGCCACAAACCCAGAAGAAAACAAGGAAGTCCTGCATGCTGCGGTTCTGATGCGCACATTTTTGCTGATAGTACAACTGCAATAGCATTTAAAATGTCAGAAGCAGCTAATTTAAATGGTGGCTTCGTGATGATATTCTAATTTTGGAGCGACGTCACGTAAATGTGTCCTGCGACCCAAAGGAGACGAGGTGCGCTGCGTGTTCTGATCCACTACATGCCGGTAGCAGAGCTACTAACAGGAGACGACGAAACAGGGA